AATGGGAGCGTGATGGTGTTTCTTGTGCTTTGTGTAGATGACATACTTCTTATTGGAAATAGTAAGAAGGAGTTATCAGACATAAAAGTGTGGTTGTCTATGCAGTTTGATATTAAGGACTTAGGTGAAGTAGGACACATTCTTGGTATTAGGGTGGGTTATTTGAGACCGTAAGAAGAGAATATTGTGCTTATTCCAATCTTCATACATAGATACTGTCCTGGCTCAACATGCAAGATTCCAAGAAAGGTATGTTACCTTTCAGACATAGAATCGCTCTATCCAAGGAGATGTCTCCTAAGACATCTCAAGAGATAGAAGACATTAAGACAGTTCCTTATGCTTCTGCAGTAGGATGTCTTATGTATGCTATGATGTGCATAAGGCCGGATATTAGCTACACTGGCATGGTGGTTAGATATAAAAGTAATTCGGTATGAGAACATTGGTCTGCGGTGAAACATATACTCAAGTACCTGAGAAGGACTAAGGGTACATATTAGTTTACCATGCAGACAGCTTGTTACATCTGAGTTACAGTGATTCCGATTTCCAGTCAGACAGGGACGAGAGTAAGTCAACCTCAGGCTATGTGTTTACCTTGGGAAGTGGAGTCATTTCATGGAGGAGTGCTAAGCAGAAATGCGTGGCAGACTCCACCATGGAAGCCGAGTACATAACAACCTTAGAGGCAACTAAAGGGCAGTATGGCTCAGAAGCTTCTTAGTGGACTTAGAGGTGATTCCGAGTTTGCCACGTTGTATCACCATATACTGTGATGACAGTGGAGCAGTAGCAAACTTAAGGGAACCACGAGCCCACAAAGCAAGCAAACACATAGAGCACAAGTACCATCTTATACGAGATATAGTTGGTAGAAGAGATGTTAATGTTGCAAATATTACATCATAGGACAACCTAGCTGATCCTTTCACAAAGAGTTTGTCGGGGAAGGTCTTCGTCAAACATATGGAAGGAATGAGAGTCAGGTGTATGGTGATAGAATCAACATAGGTCTTCTAGAATAACAGATTGATATGACTATACTTGTAAAAACGAAATCTGTAAGTATAAGTGAGAGGTTGTTAGCGTTATATACTAAAAGCTTGACTTTGGATGATATTATACTCATACCTTTATGAATGAGCTTCATGTTATATTAAACAAGTTTTATGTTATAATGTTTTACACTTAGATAGAATGGGTCGTCATCGGGCGAATCGAAGATCATTCTGTTAGTTACTTGCAAAACAAGACACAACCTAGATGGGAATGAACACCCCATCCGAACGGTTGCAGTTTCAACGGTACAATTTGTCTTGACTGATTAGTTGTACTAGTACATTTATGTATTGACCATGATCCCAATGAGGAGAAGTTCATTTTATGCTGATCGTCGTAAATAAACCAGGCCTCGGTTAATTACTACTTTCTCTTAACCCATAAGATAGTAAATAGACATATATATGCAACATATATTATTTTGATTCACTTGAGTGAGGTTTAGTTTGTTGAATTATTATTCCTACTGTCTTGGGTAATATTACTGTAGATATGATGTGCTATTAGGATATTTACCGGTCACCGTATACGTTTAGTTTGATGATGTTCCCGAAGTGAGTTCATGAAGAATTATTATGCTAAACCCTGCAGGTGGATTATATTCTGGCATAGCAATAATAATGTGATGAACGAGCGCTTGCTTCGGTAAAATAATAATATATTTATTAATTTTTTAATATCAGTAATCAAATTAATTAATGAATATTATATCTTAAACATGGGGAGGTAGTTCGGGTTATTATTATTGGAGTCTTAATTGTAAATTGGGCTAGGAAAAGGGAGTGCAATAATATTATGTAAGTGACCCATAATATTATTGAATTAATTAGAGGAGTGGGCTTGGCCCACAGTTGGTCTAATTAATTAGGAAGCCATATTCCTAATCACCTAGGGATCCCTACTGTAGCTCTATATGTACACCTTTAGGCTCATGGAAAAGAGAATAAGGGATCAGAATTCTCCTACGTATGTACATCAACACGCGCGCTCCTCTCTCTTCTCTCAGTTTTCTATTCTAATTTTATCTTTTACTTATTGCTCCACCAATACAAGTTGAAGAGGTGTTCAATATATACGGTACAAGATCCCGAGGTTATTGAGATACATATATTCATCAACCCCGTGATCAATCGGATTCGACGATTCACGAAGTCGCGACCCGCCGACCCCGATCGTCGATCGTCGATCGTCGCCGCGACCCCAGAGCTGACGTCGTCGCGACCAGATCGGAGGACCACCGCGACCCGGCCAGCCCGTGCGACACCATCGGCAGCCCCATGACGCCCGGTGACTCGACCAGCACACCCACGTGACCCGATTGTGAGGCCGATGTTCTGTTCGTGATTCAGACGTATTCGTGTACTTTTCCCGGTCAACTTGAATCAACCAGATTCAGAAAATTTTAAGCCGTAAGTTTCCTACGTCAAACCTTTAGGTCAGTTGTGCATAGGTTTACGTTTGGTATTGAATTTGTAACATGTACATAACGAGATCCTCATAGATACCAACAAATTCAAAGTCATAAGCTATATTTTCTAATGCAATGGCAATTCGTCGGAACTTTTAAGTATTGTATACATGCATTAATTTCATTTATGTGGAGGATTGTAAGAAAATTGGTTTCGTACCAATTTGTTTTTGTTTTCCATTTTATTTGTAAATTGAAGACTTAAAAAGAAAATTAAATCATTTTAAGATGAATGAGAAATTATCTCTTAGTTGTATATGATGAGAAATGTAAGATTCAAACAATAGAGTTTAAAAACTCAAAGATGGTTGGATTCTCAAAATGTTTGAGTTATGATGAATGTTTGGAGAAGACAAATGAGTTATATTCATGTATTAGGCATATTATAACTCTAACAAGGTTTGTTGGGGAACAAGTATAACAAAAATCGGGCATGATTTAGAGTCCAAATGAGCACGTGTGAGCTCGCGACGCACAGACGTACAACTAGGTCCTTCGCGGCAAGCGACAGTCCGTTAAGACAGCTTGTGAACGTGAACAGTTTTAAGCTGCAGATCACAATGCTTGTTGCAGCCACTGAAGGCTCATGACCCGCGGTGACCATAAATAATCTTTGGCTTCTGAATACGCTCGTTCTCATCCGGGCACATTCAAAAGGCTTTTTTTTTTCACTTAAACTTCATGGAGGTATTTTCCTACATCTGTAAATACTCATTACACATTTAAACACTTGAAATTTAAGAGCTCTTTCATTACTTTTTTTGAGTTTGTTATCATCCGACCCGGTAATCCGGGGTTACTTATCCGAGATCACATATTATGATAATCATCACTAAACGGCAGACCTGAAAATCCTGCTTTCTTCGGACTAGATTACAAAATCGGTCTTCGACCGACGTGAAGAAGAACCGACTTATCCTATAAAGACCGAGGTCGCCATGAACCGAGGTCGTCCCAAACCGAGGTCACCACCCCCGAAGCTGGTGACAAGGCACCTACACACCATTTTCACGAACCACGAAATTTTTCATCATTCAAGTGGGACCCTCTGACAATACCGTCCACCAAAAGAAGCTTTATGAAAAAGGTATCGTACGAATCCCGATATTTGTATCCCAAAAAGTTACTATAAATAGTTACTTCATGTATAAGGCTGTAAACGAGCCGAGCCGAGCTCGAGCTTAAGGTGTTTAAGCTCGAGCTCGAGCTCTTAACGAGCCGAGCCGAGCTCGGCTCGTTAAGTTAACGAGCCAAAAATCGAGCTCGAGCTCGGCTCATTAAGGCCTCAAGTTCGAGCCTTAACGAGCCTATCTCGAGTTTTAACGAGCCGCACTATAAAAAATTACATAAATTTCACTTTTCGAGCCTTAACGAGCCTTATCGAGCGGAGCCGAGCTCAGCTCGTTAACCAAACGAGCTTTAAATGAGCTCGAGCTCAGCTCGTTAAGGCTTCGAACTCGAGCCGAACCGAGCTTTAACGAGCCGAGCTCGAGCCGAGCCGAGTCAGACTCGTTTAATTTAACAGCACTATTCATGTACTTGTATGGGGGATCCCTGAACCATTTTTCTATCAGAAACACGTAACAGCTCACTGTAGCTTTTCACCTCGGTTCACCTCGGACCGGGGCCTTTGTTCGAGTTGTGATTGCATGTCTTATGTACAAATCACCCAAAATATTTGAGTAATCAAATTTATAATCGTTGTTAACAATCACATAACAACAAAGTTCATATAACATATTGTATTCTTTAATTTTTTTTATTGAATCTTGAGAGTTTTCAAACAAATTCTCGGGCTGGACGGAGATCGGCCCTCAAGTGCAAAGGCAGAAGGGAGCTGTTCGTAGAAGACTTGTATATTTGAAGTATCATTACATATATATCGAAAATCATCGTATCATGAAAGTATTTTCTGTTATTCAGGTATTTTACTGGACAATTTCATTTTAAGGAGGACATAAATCTTACATGATTCATACTAACTTTGTTTATATATTTTCTTCTCAAGAATCTTTTAGATATATACCAAGCAACCAACAAAAACAAACTAATATAAACAATTTTTTTGAGTACAAAAGTATACAGTATCGAGAATTGTACCTACACAGAGAAAAACACACAAATCCATGGCGCTGACAGGTAAAAAAGGGGTATGGCAGCAATGGCCACCTCTCTTCTCAGAAACCCTTCACGTGAATCTGAACTGTGTCTGTTCCCTCTCTCTCTCTCTCTCTCTCTCTCTCTCTCTCTCTCTCTCTCTCTCTCTTATGCTTTTTCTTCATACATTTTTGTACATGCTTTTCTCTATCCTCAAATCACATGTTACCATCAACAACCAGAAAATGGTATACAAATTCTACTCTGCTCTTCGAATTTAATTCACTTCTCACCTCTCATCTCTCTTAAATAAAACTATTTACTGTTTCAGATAAATAAAGCAATCTCACTCCATTCTCAAAGTTCAACAAAAATGGTGAAAAGGCCACATTTTTTTCATCCCCCTCTTCAAAATGTGCTTGTTTTCATTTCGGTCTACCACCATTATCTCCTCCTGGCTTCATCTTCTTCCTCTTCCCAGGGCACAAACCTGCTGCTACCGTCCGACGCATCCGCTTTGCTCGATTTCAAGTTCAAAGCCGATTCGCGGCACAGTTTGGATTATTCTTCAAGAACCGCTTTCGCTTTCTGCAAATGGGAAGGTGTCCGGTGCTCGGCCTCCCGGACGGTCAAATTGATCCTCGAGGACCGGAATCTCGGCGGCGTTTTTCCGCCGGACACTCTAACCCGGCTCGCCCAGCTCCGAGTTCTGAGCCTGCAGAACAATTCGCTCACCGGCCCGGTTCCCGACCTATCCGGCCTGGTCAATCTCAAGGCCCTCTTCCTCTCCCGCAACTACTTCTCCGGCGCGGTTCCTCCCTCCATCTCCGCCCTCCACCGCCTCAAAACCCTCGATCTCTCCTACAACATGCTCGCCGGCCCGATCCCCGAGTCCCTCAACGGCCTGGACCGGCTGTACTGCCTCCGCCTCGATTTTAACCGGTTCAACGGCTCGGTCCCCCCTCTCAACCAGTCCTCCCTCCAACTCTTCAATGTCTCTCACAATGGCCTCGCCGGCGCGATTCCGGTCACACCGACCCTCTCCCGCTTCGATAGAACGTCGTTCAGCCAGAACCCCGGGCTCTGCGGCGAGATCATCCACCGGGAGTGCCGCCCGTCGCGGCCGTTCTTCGGCTCCGCCGCCGCGTCGCCGGCCGCGGCGGCGCTCAGCCAGACCGCCCAGCTGCAGGGCGGCGTGGCGCTGGCCGGCAGGGGCGTGCTCGTCGGGAAGCACAAGCGGGCCGCCTTAGTGATCGGGTGCACGCTGGGCGCGTCCATTCTCGTCATTTCACTGTTGTGCCTCGCGCTAGCTGTCAGGAAGCGCAAGGGACGTGGCCAAAGTACGAGAATGCCCCTGGACGCTAGCGTGACGGGGAATGCAGAGGCTGTGACGCGGATAGAGGAGGAGAATGCGGAGCTGGCGGAGAAAGTACGGAGGGTGCAGGAGGAGAAGGGCCAGCAGCTGAGGGGCAAAAGCGGGAGTTTGGTATTCTGTGCGGGGGAGGTGCAGCTTTACACGATGGACCAGCTGATGAGGGCCTCGGCAGAGCTGCTCGGGAGGGGGACGATGGGGACTACGTACAAGGCTGTGCTCGATACGCGCCTCATTGTGACTGTGAAAAGGCTGGATGCGGGACGGCTGGCGGGGGTGGGCCGGGAGGCGTTCGAGGGCCACATGGATGCCGTGGGCGGGCTTAGGCACCCCAATCTGGTACCTCTACGGGCTTATTTCCAGGCCCGGGAGGAAAGGCTGTTGGTGTATGATTATCAACCCAATGGAAGTCTTTTCTCCCTCATTCATGGTTAGTCCTGTTTTTTATTTGATTCTTAATATTTATATCTCTTGTTGAATATTGATGTTTATACATGTAAATCTGATGTTTTTTTTCTCATAATTATGATCAACACTAGAGATGCTCGGTGGCTGTATTTGTGATACTTTGTGCTTGGGTAGCAATTAGCCATTTACATGTTGTGATGTTATAAAAATTTTAACTAAAAACTATTGCGATTGGAGTGTTGGAAATTTCTATCGAGAATCAAGTGGTACATTATTCGTTCGGCAAACAAGTGAGTCGAATGCTGGGAGAGTAGTGAGGACCGTTAAGTACAAGAATACGATTAACTTTGAAGCACATTAATTTAGGTAGTTTGCTAAGGATGCTTTTGGATGATGGCTTATATAATCGTTTAATAGTAACGTAATCTAAGCTTACAACGTCTGCTAGAGTGTAATTCCGCACAGAGAATCTAGTGCAGGTTCTCTTTATAACTAAAATGGATTAAGTTACAATCTTCAAGCATAATTCAAGATTTACAATAATGTAGATACGAACATGGGTGTCGAGGCTTTGATTTGAAAACAGTAATGAATTGAGTGTTCTAACGTTTATATGTTATTCAAAATTTATATTCGTACAGCCGAAACTATAAAGTCAAAAAATAGTGAATGTTTGCTTATTTATATGTGGATCATTAGGTTCAAAGTCATCCAAGGCAAAGCCACTCCACTGGACCTCATGCCTAAAAATAGCAGAGGACTTAGCCCAAGGTCTTTGCTACATCCACCAAGCCTGGCGGCTAGTCCATGGCAACCTCAAACCCTCCAATGTCCTCCTGGGCCCAGACTTCGAGGCCTGCCTAACTGACTACTGCCTCGTGGCCCTATCCAGCCCGTCTTTGGATGATGACCCAAACTCAACGGCCTATAAAGCCCCCGAGATGCTCAAGTTCAACGACCGTGAGCCCACCACCAAGTCGGACGTCTACTCGTTCGGCATCCTTCTGCTCGAGCTCCTCACTGGAAATTGCCCTTCGGAGCACCCGAATGTGGGCCCACACGAGATGGTCCATTGGATGAGGTCCACGAGGGACGAGCAGAATGAGGAGAACCGGCTCGAGATGGTTCTTGAGGTGGCCGTGGCTTGTTGTGCGGCTTCGCCTGAGCAGAGGCCCACAATGTGGCAAGTGTTAAAGACGGTGCAGGAGATTAAGGAAGTGGCGTTGATGGAGGATAGTGACTTCAACCCGAGTTCGGGCTCCTCGTAGGACTTTATGTAATATTATTTATATCTCGTTGTAGGCAAGTTCAGCTATATTTAGGTACATTTGTATTCATATTCTTATGTTTTTACTTGAATGTATTCATTACTTGTGGTTGTTGGTTGGGTGCAACTCTTTGATTGCTGGTGTAAATTGAGTTGAGGTGGTAGATCTCCCATACTTATGACTTTCGCCTGGATGTGAACTGTAAAAGTTTTTTGTTTTGCATTACAAATTTAGAAGAACACGGGTGTTCAATTTATGTAGGCAAGTTTAGGTGCACTTGAAAGATAAACGTGTAATCTAAGAGTATTGCATATGAATCGACACAATTGTGGTCGGAATTCAATGTACATATGCTTATACTAGTGTATGAGCAATACACACATAGTGATTGAATGTTTTGTTGCTAGTTAAGTTTAGTAAAATAAATTAATTAATTTGTTAAACATATCATCGCAAAACGTCTACTTTATTTAAACACATAGAATATTTTTTTGGCCAACGTATAGCCAAACTTAATTATTGTATGATTTTACTAAGATATTTTACTAAAATATCTCTGTCAAATAAACAACCGTGTCACTAAAACTGCTGATATATTTTTTTTTTTCTCATTGTGTAAACTACTATAGTATTCTCTCTTCATAAAAAGAAATCGGTAGACACCGCCCCACGGAGTGAGAATGAATTCCATCTCAATAAAAGTTGTGACATGGGATACCATACCAAGTCGAGTACGACCTAACGAGGGTTCGATTGGACCGGGTGGACGGACAGGTCGACCGTGCAGCACAGACACTAAAGGTCGAATAATCACTAGGTCGATAGTAACTTTGCAGGTAAGGGTGTTCATCAACAGGTCGAGCTAGGGCTCTCGATTAGCCTGATAGAAACTCGACCTGGAGGCAAGCAGGTCGTTGGCGCGACCTGAAGAACATGTCCATACACTGAGGCTTGAAGCGACCTAGGTCGTAGGATTTTGAGTTGGTCACATAGTTAGATCTTCGAATGAGATAGGCTAATTCTAAACACACTACTTAAGAGATAAGAAGGAATATTATTAAGATAAGAACTATATGTGGCCTAACATAATCAGACAGTTTGGTCACACGTGCAGTACGAATGGGTAACTCGAGCAATCGGGCAGCCCATCCGAGAAGTCTTGGGTAACAAGATAACTCTCCTACATAAAGAGGTGGGATATGATCATCCAAACTCTACATACTATTACATACATACAAATTATACAGTTATTGTTCTTCGTCTTCTTCATCCACATACTGACTTGATCGTCGGAGTCTCTACGTCGGGGCACCTCCCGACGCTGTTTTGTAGGTGTATTGAACCGGTCAAGAGCGGATCCATGTTATTCAAGTCAGATCGAGTTCATTTTACTCACCAGGTTGACATTCCAAAATCTTAGTTGCATGTACTTCTCCCGAGGCGCTAAATTATTTTTTGAAATCACCACACATACATGAAAGTGTATACTTTAAAGTAATTGAATATATGTTCGAGCAAAATACACCAATGGAATTGTAAATATTCCTATCAAAAAGTTAAAACTTCATTCAAACATTCAAAAATATTTTAATTAAAGTTCAATATTCTTTTTTCAATGTTATTAATTTGGAAGATAGACGAATTATATAATCTATTGTTTGCAAATTCATCATTAATCATCCTGGTTGTTGCGATGCATTTAGTTATCAAAATATCTTTCACATTCGTCTTTATGCTTTTATTGTCTATCTTTTTGCATCATACATAATGCTTTGAAAATTTAAAATAGAGATCTTTTCCTGATTCTTCAACAATGATGAAACAAAACAAAACAATGAGACCATATTGAAAAACATATCATTTGTTAAAAATAGGGATTATGACCGAAATTAGGGAGCTCTCCTGGAGCGTAAACCATACAAGACTACAAGAGATTTGAAATTCAAATCTAAAACTTGGTGCCAAACTTTTGACATGAAGCGGCTCTTTTGGAGGCTCTTAAGGGTCCAGTTTTTCATGCTCAAAGAGGCCGAGAATTTGGGCTTGGAGATGGTCGACAAACATTGGCCCAAGCTTGGGAAAACTAGTTAGAAAAGGCTCACGAGCAAGGCTAAACTTGAGCAAAATTTTCGAACGATTTTTGCTTAGAATAAGAATTAATGAAACTCCGAAATATTTAGGTGGATTGGGACACGACATCTACTCTTTAATTAGCTTATTTGATTAATTAGACAAGAACATCTAATTAATCTTATTGAAATTATTAACTGATTAGTCGAGCTAAACCAAACAAATAAATGACATGCAAAGCAATGCAATCAAGCAAAAACAATAACTGAACTGGTTCAATACAAATCGAACGGAACACTATATTATCTAACAACTATGATTTATTCTTACTTTTTTCACTACCACTCATTCATATTTAATCTTATTTAATAATAATCAATGTTCTGAAAATCGGACCGATCATCGAACCGGTGAAGCTACTGGTTCAATGGTTCACTGGTCGGACCAACGGTCGAACCGTTTTAATTGATATATAATTATTTATTTATTTTATATATATAATATATAATTATATATATTTTTATCATTAGTTTAATAGTGTAAAATGACATTTCTCTATATATAAAAATAGTTGTATTTATTTTTTATCATTAGTTTAATATGTAAAATATATAATTGTATATATTTTTATCATTATCAAATTAAAAAATGTTAAAAGTATTATACTTATTATGTAAGGTTTGTATTTATTTTGTAAAATTGTAAAATTATAATAATAATAATAATAATAATAATAATATAATATATCTAATTTTATTTTTTTTTATTTTTTTTAATAAAAGAATTTACATTTTAAACTTTGCATAAGCACATAAAATAAAAAATAAATAAAAATAGGCCCAAGACTTTGCAATTGCTCAAGTATATACCCAAGATAAAGACCCAAGGATTTGAAATTTAGTGGGCCTATTTGAATGGCCCACACCAAAAAGCAAGCAAAACACAATAAGAAAAGAGGAAATAGGCAAGTAGCAAAGTCCCACATCGGTAGTGTTACTAGTGTAATCAAGAAAGAGTAGTGTAATCAAGAAAGAGTACTCTATAATGAAAAAGTGAGCTGAATTGTTCGAATTTGAGGCTGCTGGGTCGGTGGAACCGGCAACAGTTTGACGGGTTGACCTCAAGTGGTTTTTAACTGGTTTTGGTGCCCAGCAGTCTAACTCCTCTGACTGGACCGTTGACATGTCCGGTTTCCGATCGAACCGGCCGATCCTGTCTGATTTTTGAAACACTGGTAGTAATAATGACAATAATGTTTTTTTTTTTTTTTTGAATGAGACGCCTGGCCACCTGACACTTATTAGGGTGTGACTTGGATATAAATTCTAAAGAAAAAAACCCAACTAAAACTCAAACTTAACTCAACTCGATTATTCTCAATGTTATCAATATAAATAAATAATATCAATCAATCATTCTTACACATTACACACATCAACTTTATTTCATTATTCATCAACTTGCATAATTTTAACTAACCACCACTTTCAATCATGTTTCTCATATTTTTACATCGAATCAATTTTAATTATTTTTGGGTTTGAACTTAAATTTCCATTAACAATTAACATACCACATTTTTCAAGATTAACTATTGTTAACAAAAAAACAATCAAATCTATATCCACTCAAAATAAGTTTTGCATAGCTTTTCATATTCCACTTATACAATCCTATGTTAGCAACACATTTTCAAAATATAAAATTTTAAAACTATAAAATCATTATGTACATCCTTTATCCCGGGATTCTATCAGTTTATTCAATCCAAATAATTTATAATTGAAATAGTCACCACTTATTATGAGAAGACATTGACATAAAATGGAAGTGTTTATTATAAGATTGCACATAATCTCAACAGTGCAATATTGGGTCACAAGATAAAAATTGTCCAATCTAGTCCGGCGCAACAAACGTGCTCTAGTCCTCGAGTCGTCCGTCCCTCACAGTAGCAATTGAGAAGACATTGACATAAAATGGAAGTGTTTATTATAAGATTGCACATAGTTTCAACAGTGCAATTTTTGATCACAAGATAAAAATTGTCCGATCTAGTCCGGCGCAACAAACGTGCTCTAAGAGTCCTCGAGTGGTCCGTCCCTGACAGTAGCAATTGAACTTGCACAAAGTGATGCTAGCTAGCTGGACGCTGGACCACATCAAGTATATAACTATGCACACTATTCACGAACAACCTCTATGGTGTGAAACTAAACTAAGGGGTTTGGCCCTTTTTTAACAATGTCGTGTACTATAAAGAAAAAAATGTGACCATTTAACATGTAATTTATGTAGTAATGCAATGAATAATTAAGATTACTAGTATTCGACCATGTGCATTTGCACATATGTAAATAAAGTATTGTGAGTTATTTGTATGTATATAATGATTAATTATTTCTCTTTCACTTTTTTAACTGACCAAATTTACAATTAAAGAAGGAATATTATTTTTTTTAAAATTGTTTTATCTGATTGGATGTAATGTATATTTTGGTACGTATTTTTTTTGTGAATTATCTATTATTTATTAAGGAATTTCAAATACTTTTTTATTTTAAAAAAAATAATTTCAATGTAACCACAATAATAACATCTAATAACATTATACAGTCAACACATTATATGGTCAACTGTCAGTAATCAAAAGTTTAAAATTATTTTTTGTAATTTTGAAGTGATTAGTGTTGATTATTTAATAATTAAATGAAAGATTAAATACATCAAAAATAACAATTTTTAAAGGGAAAAGGGTTAAAATGCTATATCGATAAAATTAAATAGATTTTATTAAATGCTAGTACTTATATATATATATATAGATGAATGCTCAATAAATATGTGATGAGATGAATAAACATAGATTTTGAATACAAAATGGTTGTAATTATGCAAGTAGATTAATCTCGTGAGGCACATTTTCACCACTTTTACTAATTACACCTTTTACCAAAAAAAAAAATAAAAATAAAAATAAAAAAAAAAAAATAAAATAAAGGCAAAGATAGTGCATAAAACTCATTACCTTCTTTTTTCCACCAACCAATCCACTTCATATTTTTTAAGCTGCATGATTGCGAGGTTTGACACTTAGCAAAGAAAAGTAATGAGTGAGTGCTCTTTGCTTTTGATTACTTACCATGTTAGCTATTGTTTTTCGCCTTTAGAATAAATAGCGCCAAAATGCAGAGCAAAATGAACCTTATTGATACCCAATTTTGTTGTAACAAACCACAAGGATCATACCTCAAGTTCCATCATTCTATTTCTATAGGTTGTTTTTTACCATAATTTTCCAAATTGAGCTATTAGTAACTCCCTCACAATCCCCTCCATCTAACAATGAATGCCTTGTTCTTCACCACAATCCTTCTAAGTTCTCTATATCCTATATCTCAAGCACAAAACCTAGGAATACCAATTCCGAAGCTACCGGTACCACTACCGCCCGTTCCGAACACCCCTTTGATCTTTCCGGACACACGACTCGAAATCGTATATCCGGTTATTCAAGCCTTTAAGAGACTCATCACGTCTGACCCGCTCAACGTGACTGCCACCTGGATCGGGCCGGACGTGTGCCGGTACAAGGGCTTCTACTGCGGGCACCCTCCCGACAACATGT